AACGTCGGCCGTCAAGGTCTCGGGTGGGGCCGACATCCTGTTCTTGGAGAGGGGGGGCCCTCTTCTTGGCGCATCGTCATCTTCTTCGAGACTGCGGCTGTGCAGGGCGACGTCTCTTGGCGTTGATCGATAATCTGCCGCCTGCCGTCGGCGTCGAAAAAGGGGGGGGCCAGAACCGGCACTTGCGGCGATGTCTTGGTCGCATGCGTGCGCTCTCGGTTGCTTCGGGCTCGAGGCTCCACGCGAGCTGGGTGGCGTCCGAACGGAATCCCTTCGACGCCGTCAGCCGGGGCCGACGTGGCTTGTTCGGCGGCCAGCGGGAGCTGCGGGGGCCGCTGCCGAGGCCGGCTGGCCACCGTGCTGGTGGCAGGCGTGGCGGGCTCCAACGCCTCGGCGCTCGGCGCGGGGCTCGCGCGCGCCGAGCGCCAAGGCGGCGGCGGCCCAGAGGAGGAGGCCAGCGCAGAGAGGCCGACCCTGACCAAGCTCACTCTGTTGGAGACACTGGCCAGTCGCTCAAACTCCGAGCGGAGTTACCGCCAGCTGCTGCGGACCCTCGTCGATCGGTGCCCCCAGCACCGCCAGGGCTGGCATGCGTCTGAGAAGCTCGACGCAGTGCTGGACCAGCACTTCTCGGATCGCTGCCATATGGGGACCGCGTGCAACATAGGGTCGCAGACGCCAGCGGCAATCGCGCACGTGACCCCCCCGATGATCAAGTAGACTGTGGCGCCCCCCTCGGGCTTCGAGGGCGCCAGCTGCCTGGGAGAGGCGAGCGCCGGGCAAGACGAGGCTGCCTCTGCCGCGGGCAGCGGTGCACGCAGTCGTGGGGTGGCTGATCGGCCGTGGGCAGCTCGGCGCGGCATGCTGGATCGCGATCGCTTTCGCGGCCTACCCGAGGCCGGCCGGGGGCCAGAGCTTGACGCGCGAGAGCCTGTTGCCTCCGACGCCAGCGGCGGGCGTGGGCCACTCGACCAGGGGCCTCCTGCTGCGCCCCACCGGGAGGGGCGGTGCAGGGGAGACTGGCCAGTGCGACGACGGCGTGATGCTGGATCAGTCGGAGCTGTGGCCAGTCTTGGCAGCCCTGCGCCTGGCCTCTGCGCTGGGCGCGTCGCTCTGCGCCTTCTCCCTGGAAGACATCGCTGCGCTGTTCAGGATCGCCTGCCGCGCGCTGAGCCTCGGGGCGCTGCTGCCGCGCCCTTGTTGCCTGCGGCGTGGCGGGGCGTCCGACGACCTGCTGACTGGTGGCCGTCGCAGCCCAGTCGAGGTGCGGCGCCGCGGGGGGTGGGCCGCCCCCTCGTCGACGCGGCGCCACGGCAAGGAGAGCGCCCTGCTCGACGAGATAGCCAGGTCGAGCGACGCTGTCTTCAACTAACGGCGCCCTCGTCGAGGCGAACTTGGTGGCGCTCCTCGAGCGCGGCTTCGGCGGAGCGGGCCTCCTGGCGCGGGCGCCTGCCGCGGTGCTCCGCGAGCAGGGCCCCGCGCCGCCTGCGGCGGGCAAGGGGGGCGGCCGGCCGCGCGCCGATGATCGGCCTCGCTGGGCTGGCCGACGCGCCCGCAGCTGCCGACGATGAGCTGCGCGGGCGGCACCTGCGGCGGCGGCGCAGGGCGGCCCTCCGCGGGCGGCGCGCGGCATTAAAGTTCTTCGCTGGCTCAGGTCGCCTGACTGAAGCTTTTCTGGCGGCGGGCGCCAGTGTGTTTGGATCGCGATCTCCACCATGTCGCTACCGAAGACAATTTGCGCGCTGCCTTCCTGCGTGCCCTCAGGAGGCGACTGGCCGCCCGCGTCGCAGGCGCAATCTGGCCGGGAACGCCCTGCGCGACTTGGACTCAGGCCCTGAGGAGCCCTATCAGAACGCGGGCCCTCCCGATGGGCCGCATGGGATTGCCCCCGCGCGAAACGGCAAAACTGCGCCATCGGCAACGTACCCTTCGATGTGAGTTGCGACATCATTGAAGAACGCATTGAGCTTCGCATTCCAGCATTCATGGGAAACCCGGCGGGGTCATTGCTGTGGCACGCCAGGGGGCGAGGCAGTTGCTCGAAGCACCAGTTCGGAACTCCGTGGCGGAAGCGAACTTCAGTTGCGGCCTGGAACGCGGTCAACCTTCAGCCCCTGAATAAGCGGCGCAGTGGCCGCCGCGGCCTTCGCTCCTGGTCGCGCCAGCCGCGTGCTATCATGACTGGCCATGGCGACGGTGTTCATCTATCCGCTCAGGCTGCCGCCTATCCGCCTCGCCTCTGCAATGCTGTGACTCGTCTGATAGAGCAATCGATGCTTACTCGCCCTCGTATGCATATGCATGAGATTTGCTTTCGTTAGTCTGCAATGTAAGATTTGCATGTTCATCGGCCTTTCGGCCAGTCCCTTCCCGTCTGGGCGTTTGGGATTACGCGTGCGCAGTCGCTGCCTCGCCTGCCTGCGCCGTCGCCTCGAGGCCGACCTCCGACCTCGAACGCCTGGCCCCTTCCCACGCGAGACCGCTGGCTCCAGCTCTTTCGACCGGGCCGACGCCCTTCCGCTCGACCCCGCTCCTTCCGTTTGCAAGATGGTCGCTCTTGGCCGGCCCTTCGGAAGTGAAGACAGGCTGCGCGGTTCTACAACAGTTTGCGTAGATGCAACGAGGGGGGGCCGCACGGCGACGCCGACCGTCGCCATTGGGGTGTCCAAGTGCACCCACCCGCAGGCCTCCCTGGATTCGGTTCTCTGACTTCAATGCCCTTTGATCCCCCTCGTCCCGAGGGATTCTGCGTCCACCGCTGCCGCCTCGCCTACCTGCGCCGTCGCCTCGAGGCCGACCTTTGACCTCGAACGCCTGGCTCCGTCCAACACGAGACCGCTGGAAAATTGGAGCGCTCTTCGGCTGGGCCCAACAGCGGGTGCTGCGGCCTGCTCCCGCGCCAGGTCCTCGAGGCTCAGCGCGTCGGCGCTGCCCCCGAGCTGGGCCGCTGCCTAGCGACTTGCCAGCAGCGCGTGTCCCAGCCAGCCCGCGGCGACCCCATCGATGACCACCACACCAAAACCAAGGCGGAGTAGCTGAGCACCACCTCCAACCAGCTGGGCCCATCGCCGACTGCCGAGCCGCCGCCGGCGCCGCAGCTCAGCACAGGCTTGCACACGCTTGCACACGCAAGCCAGGCAGTCGGCCCGCGCCGCCCACACGATCGCGGCGGTGCCTGCCGAACGGAGCGACTCCCCCAAAAAGTAATGGAGGACAGCCTGCATCGGCCTTGCAGTTTGAGCCCCCAACGGCGACGGTCGGCGTCACCGTGCGGCCCCCTCTCGTGGCATCTACGCAAGCTGTTGCTTAAACGTGTACGTTTATGCACACATAGTTATATACATACATACGTATAATCGTGTACATATATAGGTGGATCGACCTACACACATATATATATATACACACACCTACACGATCACCGTTCGGGTGATAAGGAGGTTTTCTTGGGGGGAAAGGGGGGAACCAATATCTGACTCAATCGATCTCACGATCGATTTCACTCAACGGGACAGCACGGGACACTTGTCGATCTCACCATCGGTCTCACTAAACGGGACACCGCGGGACACCACGGGCCACCACGGGGCACCACGGGACACCGCGGGACACTACTCGATCTCACTATCGGTCTCACTATCGAACTCACAATCGATCTCACCAAACGGGACACCATAGGGCACCACGGGACACCACATCGATCTCACTATTGATCTCACTATCGATCTCACTCAACGGGACACCACGGGACACCTGTCGATCTCACTATCGATCTCACTCTTTGGGACACCAAGGGACACCTCGGGGCACCACATCGATCTCAGTATCGATCTCACTATTGATATCACTCAATTGGACACCACGGGACACCTGTCGATCTCACGATCGATCTCACTATCGATCTCACTTTTTGGGACAGCACGGGACACCACGGGACAACTCGGGGCACCACGTCGATCTCAGAGTCGATCTCAGTACCGATCCCAATCTCGATCTCATTACTGATTCAACGGGACACCACGGGACACCACGGGACACCGCGGGACACCGCGAGCCTCCGCTGGACGGACGGACGGACGGGCGGGCGGGGGATATTCATTTGTCTTGACTTCGCCCTAGCAGCGGCGGACACCACGGGACACCGCGGGACACCGCGAGCCACCGCCGGACGGGCGGGCGGGGGAGAATCATTTGTCTTGACTTCGCCCTGGCAACGGCGGGTTCATTCCTCTCGCGCGCCCACGCAACTTCGCCTCGCCCGCACGCACGACACGAACGAAACGAAACGATTCCCCGGTTGGGGGTCTCCGTTCCACTGAGATCTCATCCCCCAACCTCCGATATATCGATAGATAGACGCGTAGGTCCCATACAGACAAACTGCTTCAACAAACCACTCGATGTTACGGTACGGTACATCGGGGGTTGGGGGCAGAAGAACGGGTAATGAATCTTTGGATATCATATCCGTGGTCTCACGGGCCATCCGCTTCGACTTGGCAGACCAAGGCATGCCACCAAGGTCAATGCCACTGGAACTCGATGCCTTACCCGATGCTCCCACAGTAGTTTTGAGGAGACCTCGACAGCCACATTACCACGTTGCGTTCAACTACATCACGGATAGCCACGGTGTGGCCCGCGATAGAGGCGATGCGCTTCGTTGCCATCTATCCCCTCCCATCCCCCTTCGCCGTCGTCGCCGTCGTCCTCTTCCTCCTCCTCCTCCCCCATTTCCCGTCCAAAGCCAGATGCTAACATCCTCCTCTCCCGTGCCCCCATCCACCTCCATCATTCCTCTTCCCTCCTCGCTTCCTCTCTTTTCCTGTCCTTCCTTCCTCCGCTTACCTCCACCTGCTCCTCTTCCGCGTCTACCGCCCCCCTCGCCCCTCCTCCCCCCTTTCGTCCCTCCTCTTCCTTCTCCTCTTTCTTCTCTCGCCGACCGGCGCCCATTTCAGCGGCCTTGGGCCATGCCGCCTAGCCAGAGCGGCCGGGTCGCGTCACTCGTTGGACGGGGCCTGCGCCATCGCTCCGTTCGTGAGAGTCTCGCGGAAGGAGGTGGAACCTTGGGGCAATCCATGGTAACGGGCGCTGCTCGTGCGGCGAGATCATTCGATATCCTCTCATCTTCGCCGTCGCCGTCGCCATCTCATTGCAATACCAGTTCCTCATCTCGCTCGGGAGCGGCCAAGAGGGGGGTGTCCAAAAGGGGGGGTGCAAATCATGACAGGCGGCACGTGCGCGGCCCAGCGGGGGGGCCAGGGAAGTACTGGAATAAGAAGAGGCGCCATGAAATCTGAGGAAATATCATGGTCCCCGCCGTGATATCCACCCCCCTAATCATCACCCCCCTCTTTTCCGCCCCCGACTCGCGCCCCTCTCTCCGTCTCCCCCTCCGCGTCCCCCTCTCTCCGACCCTGCCTTGCTATCGACCGAGCATTTGATCTTCCGATCTGTCGATGGATCGGGCCGCGGAGACATGTCCTGACAGAGGGGCACGAGAACCCAGAATCGAATCGACAAGTCTGAAGGGGCCCTGGGGCACACAAATAAATACACACATATAAAAGGATTCCCCATCTTTTCTTTTATTTTCTGGGTTTCTGTCTTCCCCCCCACTGCCCATATTTGCCAATATTTCCCGTGGAAGCAAAAATTAATTGTGTCTGTTGTTTTTTTTTCCCTCCTGAAAGTCGTACAGGCGATCGAAACTAATCAAATCGGCGGAAATCAGCAGCCGAGCCGGGATACATCGAGTCGGCAGACTAACATGGCCGAATCGGAATCCGAAGTCGAATCGAATCGGAATCGGGACTCCATCGAACTCGAATCGAACCGAATCGGCGGAATCGAAGCGAGCTCGGAGGGCGATGGCGTCGGTCCGGCTCGCTCGCGAATGGGGGAGGGGGAAAAGATTGTGGTGGGGAGTGGGAGGAGGACGACAACGGGGAGGATGAGGAGAGGAGAGGATGAAGAGGGATCATGAAAGTAAGACTTGCTGGTCCACTTTCTCTCGCAACGCCAACGGTCTTGCAATGCATCTGGGCGACTGTCGTTGCAACTCTATTTGCCCCTTTACCCGACGTGTGCCTCTGGATGGCATTTGTGCGGGCAAGCTATATTGGAATATGGTTACCTTTACTGATTCTCGCAAACAGCACTGCAGCACAACCACCATAGGCTTCAAACAGCCGTTCGGCATATCCTGAACCTCAAAAAACAACGCGCGCGGGCTGCGTGGACGCGCGCGCGCACACCTGCCGCACCTGGTGCGCGTGGCGCACCTGGCACGCGTGGCGCACCTGGCGTCCGTGTTGGTTCCCAACGGCTGGTTAGCGTTTTCTTGTTCAACGTTTCGACATTGGGCGGAAGGGGGGGGGAGGGGGCGGTCTGGCTCTGGACCTCTGTTTAATGGGACTGTTTGCAACAGTGCGTCCGATGGGGGAGACTCCACCTGCTCGAAACAGGCGCCCCAAACAGCCAAGATCCTCCATGGGGGAGGAGGAGGGCGGGGGAGGGGCGAGGGCCCGTGCCGATCGGCAAAACAGTTGATAAAGAACGATCACCTGCCAGTCCGATGGAGGCCTCTGCCTGAGCAGGCTGTCGGGTGCTGCTCGTGTATGGTGGGAGGGCGGGTTGGGCGTGAGCGGAGCAGCCTGCGGCGCTGCCGCTGGGAAGTGGGCTCCGCCTCTCTCTCCTGGCGTCTGGGCGGAGGGAGGGTCCATATTTTGGGCTGGGTATGGCGCGGCAGTAAGACACACTAGCTTCAGGGTCGGGCATGTCCTCATACAGGCGGTTTTGGATGAGCAGTACAAGAGAACTGAACCATGTTCAAACATCGGGGAACAATCGTCCCCAGACATTTTTTTGGACCATTCTTGAGCATTCCTCCTGTAGAGGGACATGCCCGACTTAAAGCTATCGCAAGTTGGACCAACATGGCGTCCAACATGCCTTCAAGGGGCCACAATGTGCCTCCGAAACAACTCCAAAATGGCCTCGGCGTCTTCCAAGAACGCTCCCACTACGATGCCCACGTCCGTCAAAACCGTGTGTTTATCAACGGGTCGAACTCCTCGCCGTCTCGCTTGCGATGGACTTCTAATTTGGACAACCTGAGATGAGTACGGAAACAATGGGTACGATGCATAACAGCAATTTTGTCCAAAGCTGACAGCGGCCACTGTTGGGCAGGCGGCCTTCTGTCTCAACTGGCCAACGTCCGCGGCGACACCGATATCGAGCCCTGTTCAGAATGGAGAAGTATTTCTGTCTGCCTTCGTACCTGTTCTTGCCGCACCCGTTTCGATCGTACCGATCTGAGTCCTCGAGATGGCCGTATTATCGCCCAAGACAGGCCCAACATGTGCCCAGAAAGGCCCTAAGACGGCCCATAGGCATCCAAGAACGTCCCAACACGGCCGCAAGAAACAATTTTTTCGAGCTTCGAAGGGGCGACGCTCACTGAGCGCATTTCGCTTTTTGAAGCATATCCTTCTATATGGCCTCAAGAAGGCCTCCCAAGACCCCGAGGGAACCAACGGAGACCTCCAAGAGGGCCCCGAAAACTGCAAGCGTTGCCCCAACAGGACGCCGCGATGGCTCCAAGAGGCTCCAAGAGCGAAAGATCTGCGAATGCCTCTATGGCGGGCTCGGGTTGTCCGTCGTCGTCGTCGTCGTCGTCGTCGTCGTCGACGCTGTCCTCCTCCCGCATCCTCCTCCTGCTCCTCCCGTATCGCTCCACATCTTCCTCCCATTCTACCCCTATCTGCCAAAAGGAGCGAAGGCCTTTATGGTTGACTCCTGGTTTCCTCGTGCCTCCTCGCTGTCACGGAGCACTCGGGGGTCAACCATAAAAGGGCGCCGTGACGCCTTTCCAATGGAGCCCCGTGCTTCCAGAAGACAGGATACAGTCGGCCCGTATCATGAGGATGCGCGATAAGGACGCAAGGACCTTGGACGCCCATCTCGAAGCTTCTCGAGCGGGGAGCGGCCAACGAAAGTTGTCAAGGATGGGCCGAGGAGGCAAGGATGCAAAGGTACCCTTTGGAGGGGTGCCTATCCTTACTATGCGGGTCGACTGTATCTGGTTGATTCCTGAACGCCTCCCAGGAAGGAGCCATGGTTGAACTCCTTGGTTCTCACGGAGAGGATCGCCGCTGGAGGCCTCGTGCCGACCGTACCCGAGGCCCTCCAACTTCTGCTGGAGCGTTGAACCGATACAGAGGGGGCCCGACGACAAGAACCCTTCCACAAGAAACCCAACCCTGAGACCCCAGGGAGTCCATGGATTTTTGGGGTGGGAGCGCACGCTTTCCATAGCAAAACCATCGAAGCCCAAGAACACCAGGGCACCCTGGAGGCAAGCGGGGTGCTTCTTGGCGTGGGTCTCCACTGTGTATGGCGGCTGTCCCCCTGCCTCTTTGTTGGTGTCTCCGCATGCTCCGACCAGGCTATACTCTCCTGGGGTGCGCTCCTGGGCGGGCCGGCGAGGGTTTTTTGTCGCAGCCGCAGGTGAAGGCGCGCGGTGATTTTTGATAAACGAATGTGCGCGAATAGTATGGTTTGCAGAGGATGGCGGGGGGGGTCGATACTGGCTGGGCTGGGATGGTATTAATTCATCCTCAGGGTGGACGCTGGGGCAGAATCACATGTACATTGTAATACGAAAAGGTGGATCGATAAAGCCGGGGGTGGGTGGGGATGGTGGATCGCAATTCTGTTTTAGAAAGGAGAGTATAGGTTGTGCAATCAATATTGTGCTCTCGATGTTGTGCAGTCTATGTTGTGAGCAATCTATCTTGTGCAATTTATGTGGAACAATTTAGGTTGTGCGATACATGTTGTGCAAGCGGTTCCGGCAAGCGAGCCCAGGCGACGGGCGGCTGCGGCGGCGACGAGGCAGCAACACGGCGGCAGACCCTACAAACGAGCTCAGACGAGGCGGCGATGGCGGCAACAAAGCGGCAACAAGGCGGCGGACCCGACAAACGACCCCAGACGACGGGCGGAGGCGAGGGGGCGACGGGGTGGCGACGGCGGCAACAAGGCGGCGGATCCGACAGAGGAGCTCAGTTCCCTGAGGCGAGGATAATACTCCCTAAGTGCAAGCATCGTTTAGGCAACTACCTAGGACTGCCACTCACTTCACCTTCAAACTCTTTAAGTATATCGCAGCGCTCACCACGAATCCGACATAACTGATCGCGCAGCTCCCCCAGCCGGATCCGAAATTCAGCCGCAGGCAGGCCAATGCCACCGCGAGACCAAGAGCTCCACCAACTGTGACGTCGAGAAGGTGGTGAGCCCAGAAATACATCCGGCCGAACCCGCAGGTGAGCGTCGCCGCCACCGCGACGGGAAATGCGGTATCGCCGCCGACGATGGCCCACAAGACGACGGCGTTGGCCGCCATTACGGCGGTGTCTCCAGACGGGTGCGATTCCATACGCTGGTTCTCCGACAGCAGGGTGTCCATGTACTTCCCTAGCAGCACCGAGCGCCGCTGGGTCACCTGACTGGCCAACGCCACGATCGGGCGCTTGCGTCTGAACAGTCTCTTGGGCGGAAGCGTCGCGAGCCCGGCTAGGCAGGAGCAGGAGAAGCTCGTGAGCGCCACGCTCCTCCCCGCAGGCTCCACTGCCAGCAGCAGAGCGGCGGCGAGGAGAGGCATGGCCACAAGTGACATTTTTAAGGACTTGGACGACCCCCACCAGCCTGCAAGGCCGCCCGCAAAAGCTACGAGTCCCACAATCCAGCTGGCGCCCGCGACGGGGCCTGCCCAAGGGCCACCTTTCCCGGAGAGCCACGCCAACAACAACGGCGTGGGGCCCAAGAACGCGAACGGGAGTCCCATCCACGCGCCTGGCACGGCCAATGCGACCTCCGCGAACTCTGGCAGCCTCAGCTGGAAAATGGGCCGGCTCAACGCCTTGTCCGCCTTGTCCAAGAGACTCCCCTCCGCCCACAACCCGTCCTTGCTCTTCGGGCGGGTGGTGATGGGGGGCGACCTGCCCGAGTGAGGGGTGGAAACACAGGGTCCAAAAGGAGCCCTCGAGGGACCCTTCTGGAGCCAGCAGGGACCCGAAAGGGGCCCTCAGGGGCCCCTGGGGGGCCCTCTTCTCCACCCCGCACTCAGGTCGCCCTCCATTGCCGCCCACCCGACGCTCGCCTCTGCCATCGCCCCCCGCCGGGGGGGTGACGCGCACCGGGGCGTCGAGGCAGCCGCTCGCCCGGAGGTCGCTGCCAGCGCTCGGGAGCCCCGAGCCGCCACGGAGCCCGCGACGGCGACCAGCGAGAGATGCACTGGCCACGGGCGCATGCGCAGGAGCGCGAGCGGGCGCCTTGGCAGCGAGCTCGAGCCCGAGAGGCCGCGGGAAGGAGGTGGAGAAGCAGGTGGAGGGTGAAGAGTGGGGCAGTCTGGGCCTCCCCGATGGGGCCGGAGCAGATGGGGTCGGAGGATCGCGCCGCATGGCCGATGCATCGCCGATGCGGCTCGATGTGGAGCCCATGTTCCTCCACGCCGACGTCGCCGATGCATCGCCATTGCATCTCCGATGCATCGGCGATTCATTAGCGATGCGGCGCGATCCTCCGATCCCATCTACTCGGACCTCATCTAGGGCCTCTAGACAGGGCAGCAGAGTAGAGAGCGAACAAAAACACACAATGACAAGAGGATACGAAGGATACGGGGGAGCAACATTGGAGGATGAGGACTAGAGACGGAGCAAGACGAGGGAGAGGAGGCGAATTGAGGCAGAAGGCGAGAGGACATGGGGGAGGAGGTGAGCTGTGGTATGGCGTGTCCACTAGTTACCGCTGTTTCGTATCGTAGACGCTGCGTGATCCTCATATTTGAACGAGGGAACAAAAACGCCTGCAAACTGCACCATCCGTAACAGCAGGGTTGCCAGCTCGGCGCAACTCCACGGGTATACGTTACGACGCAACGGCGTCTAGTTCAGTGTAACTGACTCCAAGGATATCTCGTGAAACACTCGAAGTATAATGTTCAAACAGCATGCCTTCAACTTCGGCTCCTTCATCGGGGGCTCACCGCTGGAATCGAGGCATCACTATAATCCAATATGGCCTTTCTGCGGGGCACGTGAACGTGAAAAGAAATATGTCGTTGACACACGACAACATCGTCAAATATTTTGTCATTGCCCATGTCATGTGGACCAATGTCCTCACGGGCGGCCATGTCGTCGCCGTCGCCGCCCAGTCGTCATCCGTCGTCTGGGCTTGGGGGTCGGCCTGGCGGCTGTTGTCGCCGTCGCCTGGCGGCTATCTTGTCGGCGTCGCCCCCCCGTCGCCGCTTCGCCGCCACCACATGGATTCTCGTTTCTATAAGAAGAAAAAATTTTACCACCTTCCCGCAACAGGAGTTATCGACACCCTTTGGACACGGCAGTGTACATATGATTCGTACAAGTGTTAACCTTCCATACGAATTCATACCATCCCAACTGGTGTCGCCCCCCGTTATTCTTGTCAAATCGCACCATGCGCGCACACCTGTCCACACGTGCACGTCGTCGCTTCCGCATGCCGCAACCCTTCAAAACCCCTGGGTTTCGTACGGGTTTCAGGGCGAAGGCTCCCGAAGACATATGAGCAGTGATTTGTTGTGCAACCGTTTGTTTAAGACATCTGCGCGCGCTCTCGTGGATTCCCAGGATACCTTCGGTTCTTAACATGTTCGTCACACGAGACCAGGCCGGCCTTTCGCGCGCGCGCGCGTGTCGAAATCATTCGAACGCTCTTGCGCGCGTGCCTGAGTGGGCGCGATCCCTGTCAAATGACACCGTGCGGGCCAGTCGCCCGCGGTGGCTGGTCCAAAACCTTCGTCGCCGATACGTGGGCACCATCATCGTCATCGGCGTGATCAGCATCGGCGCCGTTATTGGCCTTGCCGTCCGGGCACCCTTTCGTATTGCAATTTGCGTATGAGTGTGCCCCATCGTCCATCCAGGATATATGAGTTCGAACCGTCCCAGCCAAGCCGGAGTTCGCCCTCCCCCCTCCCGTCATCCCTTGCGAAATATACTATGCGCGCACACTCGGTTAGCACAAATCAGCACTTTTCAGAAATCCATTGGAAAAATGAAGCGCCGTGCGCCCGCGCGCGTCGTCGCGCGCGCATGCCGGAATTCTTCGAAAACCTAAGGTTTCGCAGAGAGTGCAAAATCCAGGGTCACGACAACATATAGCAACACATGATTTCACATGATTTTGCAACAAGGGTTTTCAAAACAACCTGCGCCTGCGCTCTTGTGAATTCTGACGAAGACCTAAGATTGTACACCATTTTCAAAACATGATACCGAACGGGCTTTTCGCGCGCGCGTCGAAATCGCTCGCACGCCCTTGCGCGCGTGCTGTCGCAAGAATCTCTTGCAACAGATGAGACGACGTGCGCTCGCGCGCGTCGTCGTGCGCGCATGCCGGAATCCTTCAAACACTTTCGGTTTCGCAAAGATTGCAAAAACGAGCGCCCCGAAAATATATACACACATGGTTTTGTAACACCAGCATCAGGAAAAAATCTGCGCTCGCGGTTTTGAAGTCTTGAGAAGACCATGGTTTTTCAACGTTTTCAGCAACTTCTGCCGAACGGGCCTCTCGCACCGCATGTCGAACTCATTCGAACGTCCTTGCGCGCACACTGGGGGGGGGGGGGGGCACGATCCGTGTCAACTAGTGCCACGCGGGCCATTCGCGCGCGTCGGCCGCGCGCGGGCGTCGAACTCCTCAAAAACCTTCATCGCCGACGCGAGGACATCGTCATCGTCATTGGCAGGCGTAATCAACATCGGCGCCGTCATCGACCTTGCCGTCGTCATCGCCACCATCGTCACCATTATCGCTACTCTCATAATCGTGTCTACCGTTGTCGGCGTCGCCATGATACCGCGCCCGTCCAAGTCACCGACTCGCACTGAAGTGCCCGCTGGGAAATGTCCAGCGGTCAGCGCCACCGCGGCCGCGTCGGTCGTGCCAAACTAGTTGGCCGCTGTGCGCGCGAGCATGCGCGGGCTGGCGCGGCCGCAGGGATGCACCAGCCAACGCCAAGCACTCATCGCAATCGCCGCAGCATGGGTTTTGCAAACCAAGTTGCGGGTGGGTGGGTGGGATGTTTGCAAGAGCATGAAATTGGTCAACTCGTTTGTAAAAATCAATTGCACCACCTAGATTGCTCCACATAGATTGCGCAACATATACCTCTAGAAACGCACTGTTTGGGGACCACGATCGCTAACATTATTAGTGCTCGAATCCTTGTGCGAAGCGCTATCAGGAAGAATCCCTCAAGAGGGCCCTGATGGGGGGGGGGCCCCAAAAGGGGAAAGGGACACCTGGAACCCTCACCCACAAATATTGCCTCCAAGACAACCCGCCATGCCATAAAAGCTTCCTAAGCGGGACCCCCAAAGCACCCAGGAGCTTCAAAAAGGCTCCAAGAGGTCGTCCCCTGGGTCTCCAAGGGCCCCCCCCCCAAAAACCCTCCCAACAGACGCGGAGGAAGATGAAGACGAAACAACAGCAACAACAACAACTGAACGCATGCATCACGTCGGGAAGTGTCAACAAAAACACAAATCAAATCGGAAGCTTCACAACTCTTCTTCTTAAAGGACCGGCGGAATGGCATAAACATCTTGAATCAACACTTCCTCCATCACTCAACTGGCCGCCGACCAGGAACAATGAGCCCTCCCACCCATGTCAAAGAACAATGCCAACCGCACGTGGCGGCAAAATCTGGATCGTAAGCGAACGCACTGCGCACGTTTGCGCTTGGCTTGGTGAAGGATGCCGCGCGTGTGCGCATCGGCCGCGCCAGGCACGCTTTCGACCTCTAGGGCACCTGCCGCACCTGGTGCGCGTGGCGCACCTGGCACGCGTGGCGCACCTGGCGTCCGTGTTGGTTCCCAACGGCTGGTTAGCGTTTTCTTGTTCAACGTTTCGACATTGGGCGGAAGGGGGGGGGAGGGGGCGGTCTGGCTCTGGACCTCTGTTTAATGGGACTGTTTGCAACAGTGCGTCCGATGGGGGAGACTCCACCTGCTCGAAACAGGCGCCCCAAACAGCCAAGATCCTCCATGGGGGAGGAGGAGGGCGGGGGAGGGGCGAGGGCCCGTGCCGATCGGCAAAACAGTTGATAAAGAACGATCACCTGCCAGTCCGATGGAGGCCTCTGCCTGAGCAGGCTGTCGGGTGCTGCTCGTGTATGGTGGGAGGGCGGGTTGGGCGTGAGCGGAGCAGCCTGCGGCGCTGCCGCTGGGAAGTGGGCTCCGCCTCTCTCTCCTGGCGTCTGGGCGGAGGGAGGGTCCATATTTTGGGCTGGGTATGGCGCGGCAGTAAGACACACTAGCTTCAGGGTCGGGCATGTCCTCATACAGGCGGTTTTGGATGAGCAGTACAAGAGAACTGAACCATGTTCAAACATCGGGGAACAATCGTCCCCAGACATTTTTTTGGACCATTCTTGAGCATTCCTCCTGTAGAGGGACATGCCCGACTTAAAGCTATCGCAAGTTGGACCAACATGGCGTCCAACATGCCTTCAAGGGGCCACAATGTGCCTCCGAAACAACTCCAAAATGGCCTCGGCGTCTTCCAAGAACGCTCCCACTACGATGCCCACGTCCGTCAAAACCGTGTGTTTATCAACGGGTCGAACTCCTCGCCGTCTCGCTTGCGATGGACTTCTAATTTGGACAACCTGAGATGAGTACGGAAACAATGGGTACGATGCATAACAGCAATTTTGTCCAAAGCTGACAGCGGCCACTGTTGGGCAGGCGGCCTTCTGTCTCAACTGGCCAACGTCCGCGGCGACACCGATATCGAGCCCTGTTCAGAATGGAGAAGTATTTCTGTCTGCCTTCGTACCTGTTCTTGCCGCACCCGTTTCGATCGTACCGATCTGAGTCCTCGAGATGGCCGTATTATCGCCCAAGACAGGCCCAACATGTGCCCAGAAAGGCCCTAAGACGGCCCATAGGCATCCAAGAACGTCCCAACACGGCCGCAAGAAACAATTTTTTCGAGCTTCGAAGGGGCGACGCTCACTGAGCGCATTTCGCTTTTTGAAGCATATCCTTCTATATGTCCTCAAGAAGGCCTCCCAAGACCCCGAGGGAACCAACGGAGACCTCCAAGAGGGCCCCGAAAACTGCAAGCGTTGCCCCAACAGGACGCCGCGATGGCTCCAAG